TTAGACTATAAATAAAGCTGAGTGCTGAAGAATTGATGCTTTTGAACTGTGGTGTTGCAGAAGACTCTTGAGAGTCCCTTGGACTGCAAAGAGATCCAACCAGTCCATCCTAAAGGAGACCAGTCCTGAGTGTTCATTGGAAGGACTGATATTGAAGCTGAAACTCCAATACTTTGGCCACCTGATGAAAAAGACCTCATTGAAAAAGACCCTAATGCTGGGAAGGATTGGGGGCGGGAGGAGGAGGGGACAACAGAGGATGAGATGGCTGGATGGTATCACCGACTCGATGGACATGGGTTTGGGTAGTCTCTGGGAGTTGGTGACGAACAGGGAGGCCTGGCGTGCTGCGATTCATGTGGTCGCAGAGTCAGATAGGACGAGCGACTGAACTAAACTGATACTACTTCTGAAGATGGAAGACGTTATATACAAATAAGGTTTCAAATGGATACATCAACCAGCTGGTTTTTATTTCATAGCGCTTTTTAAATGACCCTGAAAAAAAAATGTTTCTAACTAGAAATTAACATACGAGTTAAAACCTGTCTTTTTATTTGAAGTAAACTTCTTGGTTTACTTCTTGGTTGTTTAACAGATTAAAGTATCTTCCCCTCAAAATTCTCTAACTCATTTCTGGAGATGTATGCTTTCCCTTTGGCAATCTTAAGAGATTTTAGTTATCACTTTTTAAAGATTTACAAAGATTCAGCATGTCTAGTTTCAAAAGCTAAATTTATTTCTGTAGGATTATAATCTGATTTTTATTGTTTCTGCTCACTTTCTATTTTAACAAAAAAAGATATTAACTAATAATTTAAGAAAGTTTAAAAAAAATAAAATCTTACCATTTCATCTGGTGTTCCATGGCGATCGAACTGATAAAATGATGCTAGATGAGTAATAATCCACCAACTAAAACCCAATGGGTCTCTCGGCTGGACTATAAGCACAGATCTTCTTTGGTCATTTGATTTTTCAAAAAGTGTTTTGAGTAGCTTATTCAACCAGTTCCAAAATGACTATAGAAACAGAGGTATCATGATTTAATTAAATTCAGACACTGATCCAGAAACCTTGATTTGTGTTTTTTTCCTTCACATTTATAAGGAAATACACACAAAAGAATACAAACACATATGTAAAAGTTAGAGAATAATAAAAATACCCACGTTAAAAATTAGAAAATGACTAGCTCTTGCAGCTCCCACAATCACATCTTCTTCTCCCATCCAGGAGTAACCATTATCCTGACTTCTATATCATTTTGTAAGTTTTTCCACTTAAATGTACAAGCCTTAATTACACATTGTTTGGCTTCATCTTTTTTTATGTGTTTGTATTCTTAAGTAGCTTGTTTCCATTCTTTGATATAACTTGATATATATCTTTTCTTATATCTTTTACTATCAGTTCCAAATTCTGAACTTTTTTAAGATTCTCTTATGAACAGCTTACAGTCTTTGACAGCATGTTTTAAATGAGCAATTAGTAGTCCATTTCAGTTACTGTAATGATTTTTTTAGATTTAAACTAAAATCTACCACCTTATTCTATATTTCTATTTATACACCTACTTTTTCCATCTACACCTCCTTCCTGCCTTCTTTTTGGTTGACAATATCACTATTTTCCCCTTTATCAGGCTTTAAGTTAAACAATCTACGTTTTCTTCTTTTAGTGAAACCTTAGAAACAACAGCATACATTCAAATATCTCAGTAAGTTAACATGTATCTTGCTCTTCTCTTGGACTAAACAAAGACTTTAAAATACTCTCATTTATACCCTACCCAATTTATAAGCTAGTATTACTGTGTACTTTATTTCTTAACTCCACTCGATTATAATTTATACAAAACATTTACCACTTTTATTACTCCCTTCCTTCCTACAGCTCAGATAACCTTCCTTTTCACTGTGGCATTATTCTTCTTCTACTAAATTTATCTTTAAGGATTCCCTTTAATTCTGCTTCATTGAAAACTGTTTCATCCAAGTCTTGAAAGATTGTGCTGGATCAAGAATTTTATGTTGAAAATTAGTTTGTTTTAGTAAAATAATGATACCATTCCCACTGGCCTCCATGGCTGTTGAGAAATCAGCTGCCAGTCTAATTGCCATTCTTTTCAAAGCAGCATTTTTCTGCTAGAATGCTTTTAATCTCTTCTGTCTCCAATGTTATTAAAATTTAAGTTATTATTAAAATTATATAGAATATTTTCACTGTCCTAGAAATCCCCTCAAAGAAGGCAATGGCACCCCACTCCAAGTACTCTTGCCTGGAAAATCCCATGGACGGAGGAGCCTGGTAGGTTGTGGTCCATGGGGTTGCTAAGAGTCGGACACAACTGAGCGACTTCACTTTCACTTTTCACTTTCATGCACTGGAGAAGGAAATGGCAACCCACTCCAGNATGCACTGGAGAAGGAAATGGCAACCTGCTCCAGTGTTCTTGCCTGGAGAATTCCAGGGACGGGGGAGCCTGATGGGCTGCCATCTATGGGGTCGCAGAGTCGGGCACAACTGAAGTGACTTAGCAGCAGCAGCAGCAGAAGTCCCGTATGTTCTGCCCACCCCTAGAAGTCAGTGATCTTTTTACTGTTTTCAGTTTTGGCTTTTACAGAATGTCATGTGGTTGGAATCATATAGTGTATAACCTTTCAGGTTAGCTTCTTTCACTCAGTAATATGCATTTAAGGTTCCTATGGCAACCCACTCCAATATCCGTGCCTGGGAAATCCCGTGGACAGAGGAACCTGGTAGGCTCCAGTCCATGGGATTGCAAGAGTCAGACACCACTGAGTGACTAAACCAATACCATCTCCATCATCATGTCTTTTCATGGCTTGATGGCTCATTTCTTTTTAGTGCTAAATAATATTCCATTGTCTGAATATACCACAGTTCATCCATTTACCTACTGAAGGATATCTTGGATGCTTCCACATTTTGGCAATTATAAAATAATTGATAAATGAAGCTGCTATCAACATTTATGTGCAGGTTTCTGTGCTACCATGGGTTTTCACTGGGTAAATACTAAGGAGCAAAACTGTTGGATCAATATGCTAAGACCATGCTTAGGTTTGTAAGAAAAGGGCAAAATGTCTTCCAAAGGGGCTGTACCATTCTATATTTCTACCACAATGAATGAGCTTCTATTGTTTCACATTCTCAACAGCATTTAGAATTGTCAGTGTTCCCAATTTTGGTCATTCTAACAGGAATGGTATCTCTGTTCTTTCCATTTACTTTTCCCTGAATTTGTAGTGTCTTTAAAGAAATTTTTAGGATATTACAATTGAGTTTCTGATTCAGAGAGCTACAGAGGAGTTTTGATTTTTTTTATTTTAATTTATGGAAGAAGTCTTGAAAATGTATATAGGAAGAAATCATTCTAAATTCCTAACTGGATAAGAACATATAAACCACTTTAAGTATCATTTCACAATTAATTATTTGTTTACTTCTGCTTATGGCTATTTCTCTTTTCCCCCAGAACACTTGAAATAAAATAAAGGCCCATTCTGAAGACCTGATTAAAAGTGAGGTAAAATAAAACTTGCCACCTTCCCCTTTGTGTTTTTCTTTCTCCCTCCTTGAAATAAGATACTGTAAAATTGATTAATAAATCTAAATCTGCCTCATATCCTGTTTCCTGAATTATAAGAGCATTTTTTAAGTATTTTAGCCTAACGGATTCTTGATAGGAAAAAAGAAAAGAACTTGAGAAGATAAAACTATGATTCAGATCTCATACCTGTCCTAGAATTTTCATATTGCCAATTTAGGGTTAAAAATACAATAAGTATTTAGTACTCAGTGCTCTGTTTATAAAGAAAACAGCTTTGTAAGATTTCTCTTTGCCAAACCAACTGCATAAATTCAATGTAAGGGTTAGTAACAATAACTAACAGTTTTATAACTTACTTCTGAGAGAGACCATTTACTTCTGTGATTAAGAAGGTGAATGAGCAGAACCCATAATTCTTTAATGCATGGACATGAGCAATGGTGACTCATTAATGCCTCAGAAGGCCTAACCTTCAGAAAAGAACCAAAAGAGTAAATTACAAGATAGCAGAATTTTACACATCACATATCTCCCCTCAAATGTCCTAAAAGATTGATTTTGATGACTTAAAATTTATGCTCAATCACATAAAATTGCTTATAAAAAACATACCATTTCATTAACTTTTAAAATAAATTTCCATCTAAAAACAAAAGTACACAATGAATTTATTTCCAACTTAAAAAAAAAATGATTTAATCATCTCATCCAATGAAGAGCATTGGATGCTCTCTAGCCCTGTAAAGAGCTAGACTGTAAATATTTGAGTCTTTAATAGTGAAATAGCCTTTGTTACAACTATTCAACTCTGCCATTGTTCTGCAGCTTTAGTCATAGACAATGGATGAAAAGGATGGGAATGTGTTCCAGTAAAACTTTATTTACAAAAAGTTGATGTGCTAGATTTGGCTATAGGGTCATGGTTTCCATGATCTAATCCATCAGCCAAATAAAAAGACTTCTAAGAAAATGACTAGAGGATAAGTTTAAATTCACTGTAATTATGACTAAAGTTTTTTTATAATTAAGCAAACTTATTAGGAATTCATAAAGATTAGACAATTTTACTATTTTTGTAACAAATATACCCTCAATGCTCCTAAATATACCCTCAGTGGCATACAGAGAATATGCACTATATTTGCAGGGACAGTCAGACTTCTGAAATTCATAATGTGTTCATTATTTCACATATTATACAATTTTCTAACATAGTAAAATAACCATCAAGATATTACTTTATCATATCTAGTTAACCTACTAATTACATTATAAACACAGACTAAAAAAAAAGCACAGACTAGATTTAGACAATATATAAAACATGATCTAAATTTTAAAAAATTAAAAATCCCTATTTCCCATAGGTAACAATTATGCTTGGAACCTGAAGTTCTGACAGTCAACAGATTTCCACTGATTGAAAATAAATGTATACCATAGCACTTTTAAATCACTGCTTTAAGCACTACGATAAGTAATTTAGTAAAAACACATAATGTCCTCCAATTCTAGATCTTTTATGAAAACAAACAAAACCACTCTTTAAATGTGCCAACTAGCTTTACCTAAGTACTCATTTATTTTATTATATAACAATAGGTTATTAAAGGGCTGGTCTCTATTTGATGAGAAATTTCCAATCATCATAAACATTGTTTTATTTGACCAATAGAAAAGGTTTGTCTTTTAAACACCAATACTAGCCTGTTTTAAATGTTTAACTCAAATTCTTTTCCCAGCCAACTCCCAAATAAAATATAAAATTAGAAGAATTAACAAGTAAATCATTTTAGGTTAAATTCTCATAGAACAAACCACACGCATTAAGTACTGACTATTGTCATTAAATACCAAAAATGCAAATAAACTCTTAAGGAATTACCTTGTCATACCTGTTGAGGGACAGGTTTATTAGATCACAAAGAAGATTTTCACAATGTTCTTCAAATAAGCTGACATTGGTTAAATTGTCACCTGCCAGATTCATAAACTGATGACTATATACAACTTGTTCTAAAAATGAAATAAAATTCTGTTTAAAACTATAGCAGATTTTACTAATTCAGAAATAAGAAAGTGACTGTACACCTTTATATTAACATAACAAAACTGCAACAGGAACAGTTAAAAAATTTTTTTTCTGCAAATAAAAGTTTAATGTGAAGACAATTTCTTTCTTAAATGAGCAGTGATGTTTCAATCCTCCCAAGTATCATTTAATAGATTTTCTTCCCTTAATATGGCCATCTAAAGAGCAACAATGCAACAAAAGAGAAAAAAATACAAGGGAAATACTAGAAAATCTTTACCCATATTTCTAACCAATAATGCCTTTAAAACATTTTTCTTTTAACAAATACTGATAAACTAACCATGTACAAGTCTTTTTGGCATGAAATAGAGCAAACCAAGGTAACAGATACCAAAATTTGTACCTGTGTCAGAGTAAGTTCACCTAACTATTGCTTTAAAAAAATATTATTTGAAATAGTCAACATGAGGAAATGACATTTGTGTATACCATTCTATGTTCATATGTATGCATGTAAGTGCTCACATATACACATGTATACATATATGTATTTTTGCATTAATTCATTGAAAACCAGGTACTGAGATAAAGAATGTCTTTAAAACCTAAATAATTAATAATTTACAACTAGATAATATGTATAACGAACAAGACCCAGAATAAATAGCAACACGTGAAATAAAATTTTACCATCCATAATATATACAAACCACTTCAAAAGAAAAACAGCAAAGAGTGAAACAAAAAATAATGCAACATGCTTTGTAAAATATAATGAACAAATACTTAATAAAGCAAATATAAAGACAATAAAATTAAAGATCCTTCAACTTCACTGATTATCAGGAAATTGCAAAACAGATTCAATATCATTTTTCACATATTAGTTGGCAAAAAATAGAAATATTAATAGCCACTACTGGCAAGAGTATGAGGCAAAGATATGCTCATGGTTAAGTGTATAAAATTGGGGAATCTTACTATACAACACCAGAGCAGCATATACAATATTAAAAGTGCAATATGCTACTTCAATTCCAAAAACCTATTGTACAAAATAGCTTGCACAAGTATTTGAAGATGTATATACACCCAAGGATGCTCAGTGAAATATAATTTGTAATGTTAAAACAAACAGAAATAACAGAAATATTAAAAAAGAGTTGGCTAAAATTATGATAGGTCCATAAGATCTATAACATAAATCAATCAAGTAAAACTGTATGTACTAACATGAACAGATTTCTAAAAGCACTATTAAATAAAACCCTCCACAGAACAATATGACACCACTTGTGGTTAGAAACAAAAACAAAAATTCTACCTATATATGCTTCTATATATGTATACTAACAATAAGTATGGATGGATGGATAAATGGACCATACTTTCCAGTAGTTATCCTTAGAAAAAAGAAGTTAAGACCTTCATTTTCTAGTTTCGTTACTGTTTGACTAAAAATAATAATAACCAGAAAGCACTTATTACTTGTATAATCTTAATTTAGATTAAAACATGTTTAGATTCAAAAAAAGGACATAAATCAGAAATCTATAAACTTACTCAATTTTTCACCAAGCATGTGAAGAATTTCCAGCACCAGCCAATGGATATCTAGGTGGAGATGTAATAAATGCCATGACGGTGGGTAAAACTGTGAACGATATTATCAACTGTGATTGGAAATTCATAATACTTCATTAGGTATTTTATAGCATGTCACAATAATTTTCCCTAGGCACAAGTTAACCTACCACTATTCAAAAGTGCAAGGGAAACCTCTTGTCTTGTTTGTTAAGAGGATTTTTTTCACTAGAGATATTTAAAAGCAGGATAGGATATAGGATATACTCTTAACTGATGTTGCAGAGAGACCCACCCTGGGGCTGCTGAATAGAACAGACTTGCATAGTAAAGGTTCCTACCAACCAAGAGATATTCTACTACAGCTGCAAACCAGTAAATGAATTTTTTTAAAACACCATTTTCATGATTTTATTTTAGACTCTAGCCAGGAAGTATGGTTTTAAATGTAATGAATACCTAGCAAAGTCCATAAAACATTTTAACAAGAACTTTTAAATCATTTAAGACACTACTTCACGTCCATAAAGAAACTAAAGTTAAAAGTGGTGAAGAAATTCCCCCCCCCGGTTCGTTCCTTAGGATTCAAACCTAACTCTATTCGATTCAAAGGCCAGTGCTCTTTACTGTACTGTGTAGGTTATCAATAAATTTTCTCCAATCAACATTTTGATTCACTAAAATACAATGATTCGTACTTTTTAATTAAGACATCTAAGAAGGACAGAGAGGGATCTTGCCTTATCAAACATACAAACAAAACACTAGTAAAACAACACTGACTCAGGAATAGATGATAAACAGCAAACATAAGGAAGAGAGAAGTGGACACACATTCAAATCAGTGGGCAAAGCATGGGTCATTCAGTAAGAGTCAGGATTATTAACTTACTCATTTGCAAGATACTAGATTTCCTACTTCAAGGTATATTTTTTAAAAGATGAATTAGAGATAAATGTTAAAAAAAAGTAGGTATTTTACAAAAGCATAGGAATTATATCAAAGAAAAAATTGATAAATATAATTCCACAGAAAAAAATTATGTACCTAGCAAGTCAGGTTAATTGTTGAAAAAGATATGAAAATATTTGTAATACATAATACCAAGAAACAGTATTACTAATTTTAAAAAGTCCCTTAAAAAGAATAAAAGACAGATGTTCAACTGAAAATAGCAATTAAAGCATTATCTTGCATATGAGAATGGCAAAACATAAGAAATATGTAAAGTCTTGAAAGATGCTATTTCATGATTTTTTTGGTTTTGCTGATGTTTCAGAACAGTATTTCAGTGTATGACTTTTTTGTTTATGTGCTGGTGATTCCATTTAAGTAAGCTATATTTTCAACAAGTCTGCCTAATTAAAAGCCTATGAAAAGTAAAACTTAGCTTGAGGACCTTGTGTCCATCTTTTAATTTCTGCTTCTAGATAAATTATTTTTATTTTTCTTAAGCATTTGATGGATATCCAGAAAATAAAAGCCAGTCCAACTTATAGAGACTAAAAAGGAAAATTACCCTCCTCCTCACAATCCATCCATGAATCTTTATTAACTGACATGATTAAAAACAATTACCTAATTGGTTTCTATGGATTAGATATATTCACCTGTGAAAACACCTGGAACTCTATTTACTTGTATTATCACATATATTGATCCCTGAGAAGCTGGATTTTTAATTGCTAAATTTCACAGATATATAAACACTTTATTGTACCTTAAATATTTTGGCAAAGACATATTCCTACAAGCTGACTGTTATTCAAATTGGTGAAGTCAAACAGAATAGACATAACTCAGGAAATCCCATGGGGAATTATAATCACTCACAGAAGTTCACATTTTCCTATGGAGAATTTGTTCAATACATCCACAGGCTGGGTCATGCTAACAATATAATTTTTTAAAAGCTAAAATTCAGAGAGAATAATTAGCACAGACAGGAAAAAAAAATGGCAGGCATGGTCAAAACATTCATATTCTGAAAATATCTCAAAAGCCAGAAAACATAACAATGTGGTTTTGAAAGCCTAACTTTTTAAAGGTGATGATCTTAAATCTTCCTATAAAATAAACTAGGGTGTGCCCACACCTTGATTAATGGGAGAGAGGATACAAATTTTAGAACATAAAGTTTATTTTATTTGCTTTGAAATGTTTAAGCATTTGCACTATTACAAATTAGAAGCGCTATCAGTGATTCAACGTAAACTATTTCTAAGCACTTAATGCACTTTACTTTATTCAATTCTCCCAATAACTCCAGGAAGTTAAACCAATTACACAGATGAGAAGACTGAAGCAAGAGGTGCTATTTGCCCAATGGCACATAATTAATAGGAGGAGGAGCCAGTATTTCAACTCACACAGTCAGGTCCAAGAACTACACTCTTGACTCATTTCCCTCATTCTTGAATGAATATTACGTGTAAGAAGAAAACAAAAACTGGTAATTCAAAAATTAAATATAACAAATCAAACCTTAGTCTGGTTTTGATTTACAAACGCTCCTGTATTCGTAGTGGGAAGTTCTGACAGGTGTCCTATATACAAGAGTAACCCATGAAGCTCATCAACCAACACTGAGGGAAGCTGTGCCTCCAAAGTCTCGTAGGGATGGACAGGAACATGACTTTCAGCACTGTGTACTTGCAGGGACCTAAGACATGATGAGATCCAAAGGCAGTTAAGAGTCTGGATAAATTTGCACTCAGAAATTCATGTATTATTCGTATTACTCATCTGACAGCCTACCTGAAGATGAAAACTTTAACATAATGAAGAAATGTTATGCAGTTCTGCCTAATATTGTGTGCCTTGCAATGCAGCGTTGATATCTTCCCTAAAACCAAAATAGGTAACATTAATCATGGTTTAAAGAATCAGTGATCAGTGACAAAAAAATTTTGTAAGCTGTATAAGCAGAAATTCTCTACCTTTTCATTTGTTTCAACTGATTCTCACTATCCCCCGCCCTTTCCCCACAAAAAAACTGCTCTTATTAAGGTCATCAGTGAAACCCATGTTATCCAATCTAATGGACACCACCTGTCTTCAATTAACTTGCCCTTACAGAAGTTTTCCTTACACCTGGTTCATTGATACCACATGCTGCCAGTCTTCCTTCCTCCTCACTTTCCTATAATTCTCATATTATCTAATGCTCATATTTTCTCTGCTTTTGTTTTCTGGCTGACTCATTTTCCCTAGAGTGGTTATGAATGTTTTGCACATAGTAACCACACAGATAATTTTTGCTGATGTAAATACTGAAGTAAGGGAAAGAATGGCATGGGTTGAGGCTGAATGAAAAACAGGAGTGACAGGCAGCCTTACAAGTCATTATGAGTTTTGATTTCATTCTAAATACAGTAGATGGCCTTTCACGGGTTCTGATTTAGGAGGAACAGGAATTGATATACATTTAAAGCAGGTTTCGTACTCACGATTACTGATCTGCAGGCCAGAGAAAAATACCAGAAAACAATTCCCTACAAAGCTTACAAAGATCAAGAACAGTTCAAGTTCCCACTAGCAAGAATTAAAAAATAGTAATAAACCAGAAAAAATCCTCAGAAGCCTTACTAGCACTGAATAACATTAGACTAAAGGCTACTTTTTTAAAAGTCCTAACAAAATTTACAAGCTTCAAAAAAATCCAATGGATTACAAGTATTCAACAATGAGCCAGAACAAAATTCAACACTAGTTTTAGGAATACAAGACAACTCAGAAAACAGCAATGTAAAAGCTACAAAGTCCATCACACAAGAAAAAAATTACTAAATGTTCAAAACAGTAGAAGAATATATCCTAAAACTAGGAGGAAAAAGTCAATGCAAACAAACCTGGAAATGACAATGACGAAAGAATCTGTAGTTAAAGTTAAAAATAGCAGCTGTAGATATACTCCAATATGTTAAAGACAGATTTAAAAAAATACGAGAACAGAAATGGAAAACATAAAAAAAAAATCCAGATGAAATGTCTAGAGACAAAAAAATACAATACCACAAAAGGAGTAACATTAACAGCTATATTTAATACCAGGTAGCAGTAAAAAAAAAAACAACATTATATTATATATACTATTCTGCCTCAAGAGGAAAGCAATCCTTGGAGTAAAACCAACAGGCGCACAAGAACCATGTGTCCATCAGTAACTAACCCTACATAAGGGCTTTCTGGAGAGGGTTGAGGACCAAGGGTTTACAGGAGTTCACTAACAAACCCCTGGTACAGCTGCATGGAGGGGTAAGCTGATGTATGTGTGCTGTGCGCTCAGTCGTGTCCAACTCTTTGCAATCTCGTGGACTGGAGACCACCAGTTCATCTGCCCATGGAATTTTCCAGGCAAGAACAGCAGAGGAGGTTGCCATTTCCTACTTCAAAGGATCTTCCCAAGCCAAGGATCAAACCTGCATCTCTTGCATTGGCAGATTCCTTACTGCTGCACCACCTGGGAAGCTCAAGCTGACATAGGGATGGTCTTCAATACTGCTAACCTGCCCAGTAAATCTATCATTGCCAAAATGTCAGTGTAACAAGTAACCGTTTCAACAAATGGCCCACTGCAGTGATTTTAGGTCCGTAACTGCTTTTCAAGGAATAATCCTGCATAATACATGCCTTCCACAAACCAAATTTAATTAAGTCATTCTATATAGTAAAGGTATTTTTGCTGTTTCCACTACACTCTTGTAGAGGCTCCCCAGGGGTTTAGAAGTAAAATTGTGACTTTTTGGCACTGCTTACAAAGACACCTATAATTGCCTCCCTTCCAAAAATTAATCCCTAACATAGTCGGGTCCAGCCTACATAATTACCACTTACTCAGCCTATCCCCAACACTTCTCCACAAACTTTTGCCTGGCTAAGTCCTCCCCATCCTTGAAGCCCCAGATCTGGCATCATTCAGCAATGGGCACATAAACAGATAAACCCCTCGGTTCCTGTACAACTTACACGTGTTTATTATTACACTTTTCCATTTCCCATGCCAATTATGCTTGTTTATCTGTTTTACTCAACTGCAAACTCTTCAGTAGCATAATTTTCCTCTTTGATTCATCAGCACCTTGCACATGAAGGAGGGACTTGGGTGACAGCGGAACAGGAATATTTAATATTTACTGAGGACAAACTGAGAAAGCAGAACAGCCCTGGCAGCAGACAACAATTAAGGCCATGAAGTTTTCTAACGAAATTAAACAGTCATACATTATCAAAAATAATCACACAAAGTCACTCCATGATTTTGGTGAAACAAGAAAAAAAAAAAAAAGCCCGCCTCAGTGATCATGTTTGACACAGAAACAGGCACTACACAGCCATGCGAACAGAATATCCCCCTGACAGCTAACATGACTACTGCCTCATCACTACCTAGAACCTACCCTTGCCTCCTTCTGTTTGTTCCACCTTCTAAATAAGAATTTAAAATTACCATACGCTGCCACCAAGTCGCTCCAGCTTCCTAACAGCATCAAATCCGGAATAAAGCCGTAGCCCCCTTAAACTCTACCCAAAATTAGTCTGCGCAAGCGCATACCCTACACAAGCCCCTCCCTAACTCTGCTTGCTGAGAGGCCCCAACTGTTCCTCGCGATGCGATGCGATGCGATGCGATGCGTTTCTCCCCCTTGCTTCCTAAGCCAATAAAACACTTCTTTGACCAAAGGTGTGTTTCGCGTGATCTGTGGTTGCTGGGAGTAACGACAGATCCTAGGCTAAGCACCTGACATGCATTATGCCATTCAGTCCTCAGGAGAACTCAGTGAGGTGGGAACTATTAGGAACCCAGGCTGACCACACAATCATGATTCTGAAGACTATACTGCACTGAAACTGTTCAAAGGAGAGGCAGCTAGCCTGTACTAAAACACACTGCCCTCCAATTCCCTTCACTACCTTAATTATACCAATGACCCCACAATAAAAAACAACAACAACAACAAAGCAGAAAAGGAAAACAAGAAGATAGCATGCGGTTTGGCACTTTACATTTTCACCACACTCCCCACCTCCAAAACAAGTTACTAACTCACTTCAGAGATGTTTACGCTTAAATCAATTTTACTTGCAGGTTTGGAAAAAATACCATAAATTTCATCTACTAGCAAAATTTAAGTGTCATACTTTTTCTGAACACTAAATATAACTGTCTCCTGAACTTCTGAACTAAGACTTCCTTCACGTTATGATGATATCCAGTGACACATCATAGATCCATATACAATTCACTGAAACAGAGAACCATTTCTTTTTGTCTTTAAACCCTTAAAACTTACCAAAATCAGAGCTGGCCTGTAATAAGGTTTCCAAGTTGTAGAGCTGTTGCCTAATTTTAAAAACATAGGGTAAGAATTAGTTTTTGAATAGTTTAAAGCATGTAACAATTAGTTACAGATAGTGTTTCCAAATCTCTTACACAGCTTCAATGCCTCTCATTCCTGAATAATGTTTGATGCTTCGTGAATGTTTATTAGCATCACCTTCAGGTAGTAAACACTTTGAGAGAAGATAAAATGTGCCTATGTCTGTCCTTCCAAAAATATTTGAGAGCTACATTTATCTCAAAAATTAAATATCATAGATTTCAACATGAAGAAGATACTGCTTATATCTCTAAGAAGTTTAAGGTAGTTATATTAAACATCCTAGGTTAACAGTTACATAAGGAAATGTTAAACTGTGTCATGTAATAACACAATAGGAGTTCTGAAAAGGAATAGAATATGTAATGTAGACTAATCAGTGAAAATTTTAATTTATGATGTTCCACCTTAATTTCTCACAATAATCTTCTCTTGCCATTCTTCCTAGTTGCCTTTTTTAACTCCCTAAAAACAGAGCCATATTTATAACCTATGTCCTGGATAAGACTAAACTCATTCTTTTTTTTTTTTTAATCCATTCGTCTGCTGATGGGCATCTAGGTTGCTTCCATGTCCTGGCTATTATAAACAGTGCTGCGATGAACACTGGGGTGCACGTATCTCTTTCAGATCTGGTTTCCTCAGTGTGTATGCCCAGAAGTGGTATTGCTGGGTCATATGGCATAAACTCATTCTTTAATGTTTAAGACTACACAGAATCACTCAGACTGTTTTCCCAACAAAACATATAACATGGCACAGGTTCCATGGGATCAGGGTGAGAGGAGAAATCACTCAACCTTTCTATTTTCATTTAAACAGATCATGTATACACTTTTTTCATTATGTACGTTTCAAGTATACAGCACTATAATTCCGCATCTGTGTACACTACAACACGATCACTATCACAAGTCTAATTACTCTCCATCACCATACAGTCGACTCGATTCACCTTCTTCACCCACATCCTCAACTCCTTCCCCTCTGGTAACCACTAACTGGTTTTCTGTATCTATGAGCTTGTTTTATTGTTTGTTCATTTGCTTTATTTAGATTCCATGTGAAGTCATACAGTATTTGTCACTCTCTGGCTTATTTCATTAGGTGTAATACCCTCGAGGTCCATCCATGTTGCTGCAAATGGCAGGATTTCATTTGTTTTTAAGTCTGAATGATATGCCATTGTGTATATATATGTATGCATATATTCATCCATTCAGCCATCGAAGGACAGATAGGTTGTTTCTATATCTTCATATCCTGAATACTAAAAATAATGCTAGAATGAACACAGGAGATGAATATATCTTTTCAAATTAATGTTTCTATGTCCTTTGGATAAATACTCAGAAGTGGAATAGCTAGGTCATAGGGCAGCTCTATCTTATTTTTTAAAACCTCCATACTGTTTTCCATAGTGGCTTTAACAGAGATTTACATTCTCACCAATAGACCACAAGGTCTAATGGTCTATAGACCCTTTTCTCCATATCGTCTTCATTTTTTTATTTCTTTTCTTTTTGATAACAGTCAGATGTCAGGTGACAGCATTTCCTTAAGTCATGTTGAACATCCTTTCATGTGCCTGTTGGCTGACTCCAACTATTCTTTAGAAAAATATCTATTCAGATTCTCTGCTCATTTTTTTCACGATTTTTTGTTGTTGTTGAGTTAAATGAATTTTTTATATATTTTGAATATTAACCCTTTATATTAACCAAATATATGACCTTTTCCCCTCCAGGAGGTTGCCTTTTCACTTTGATGATTGTTTGCTGTGTAGTTTTTTAGCTTGATGTAGTCACATTTATTTGTTTTTTGCTTGTTTCCCTTGCCTTTGGAGTCAGAGCCAGAAAAACATTGCTAAAACTGATTGTCAATGAGATCACTGCCTTTATTTTCTTCTAGATATTTTATTGTTTCAGGTCTTATATTCAAGCTTTTAATCCAGTTTGAGTTAATTTTTGTGTATAAGATGGTGGCCTGGTTTCAGTCTTTTACCTGTGATTGACTAATTTTCCCAACACCATTTATTGAAGAGACTGCCTTTTCTTTATTGTATGTTCTTTGCTCCTTTGCCATAAATTAACTGTCTCTATTTAGGTGTCGATTTATTTGTTATCTCAATTCTGTTCCATTCATCTATATGTCTGTTTTTACGCCAATAACATGATGTTTGTTTACTATACCTTGGTAATATAGTTTGAAATCAGAAAGTGTGATGACTCCAGCTTTGTTCTTCTTTCTCAGGATTGTTTTGGCTATTTGGGATCTTTCGTGCTTTCAGGTAAACTTTAGAATTACCATGTATACATTCTTAATGTATTTTGAGACAATATTTGCCTTTGATAAGTAACTGCAAATCTCAAATCTGAATTATGGACTGGGTTTTAAATAATAATGAATCATTTCAATTTAATTAATTGTGATAATGAGGTAATGTTTATTTTTTTTAAGTTCATATTTTTAAGAGATACATACTGAAGTATTTAAGGGTGAGATAGCATGATACCTGGAATCTGCTTTAAAAATATTTAAGCCAAAGGTAGACAGAAAGGGACAGAAGTAAACGTGACAAAACCATGATGTTCATCGTAACTGATGGAAGGTATGTGAGAGCTCATTACACTATTCTCTCTATATTTGAGAGAATAAAATTTTTCATTAACATTTTTTAATGTTGTCCAGATTAATTAATCACATTTCTATTACACAGTCTTTAGAGTCTGAGTTCATTCTCTAAAGATTACTGAAAAATTATGTCTATTAAGCAGCCCTAATGCTAGGAAAGATTGAGGACAGGAGATGGGGGCAACAAAGGATGAAGTGCTTGAGCAGGATCATCGACTCAATGGACATGAGTTTGAGCAAACTTCAGGGCATAGTGAAGGCCAGGGAGGCCTGGTGCGCTGCAGTCCATAGGGTCACAAACAGTCAGATAGGACTGAGCAACTGAACAACGAAGAGCAGCAAAAGCATTTTATTTTTCTTCCAAAGTTATGGTATACTTCAAAGCCTTAAATATTTGTTTTCAGTAAATGATGCCAAGTATGTATGTGTGTTTAGTTGTGTCCAACTCTTTGTGACCCTACTTACTGTAGCCCACCAGGCCCTCTGCCCATGGGATTTCCCTGGCAAGAGTACTGGAGTGGATTGCCATTTCCTCCTCCAGGGGAGCTTCCAGACCCAAGGACTGAACCTATGTCTCCTGCGTCTCCTACACTGCAGGCAGATTCTTTATTACTGAGCCACTGCAGAAGTCCAATGTCAAATACAGCAGAATAAAATTCTGCAAAACCACTAAAAAAATAAACTCATTAAAACCATTACTCCATTAAGCATTACTGCTTAAGTGTTGTTACTGACAAGATAACCAGGTAAGCACCAATCACAATCCTACAGGTGTTTTTGTAATATCAATATTAGAAACCACCCAGAATCACTTCTCGGCCTTTTGGCTAAGATCAAGTGTAGAAACCACCCAGAAATGTAACTTAAAACTGAAAGCAAAAAACAAAACAAAAACAAAAACACAAACTGAACAGCATATTCACTGAATGGCAGTTTTTAAAAAAAGACAAAACATACCTGAATAGATGAAACAGAACTCTAGATGAATTCACTAATGCTGTTTCAGTAACCCACTGAATGCCAAATATTTCCACTGTATCCTCTTCAAAATTAGTTGGTAAAGGATCAAGATTCAAAATTACCCTGAAATAAGAGAACAGCATCGAAACATGTATATTATCTAGGGTGAAACAGATCACCAGCCCAGGTTGGGTGCATGAGACAAGTGCTCGGGCCTGGTGCACTGGGAAGACCCAGAGGGATCGGGTGGAGAGGGAGGTGGGAGGGGGGACTGGGATGGGGAATACATGTAAATCCATGGCTAATTCATTTCAATGTAGGACAAAAACTACTGTAATGATGTAAAGTAATTAGCCTCCAACTAATAAAAATAAATGGAAAAAAAAAAAAAAGCAATGTAGCAAGTGTAAGTATTCTGAAGATAGATGGAAAAAAAAATTAAAAAAAATAAAGATGGGCATAATCAAGTTGAATAACATCTTTTAAGGTCTGAAAGAAGGTACAATTGTAAAAATCAACAAAAATGCTTTCTGTTCTGAATAAAACTGCCTCAGCAGGTATTTCCAAAATATTTCAATAACAGCAGTTTTACTGAAATACGAATATACAACTGTTCAAGACAAGAGATTTGAAAATAATATTTCTGTGAATTTACACAATCTGGAGCATTTACTTGAAAGTAAAAAAAAAAAAGAAAAGCTTAAAAAAAGACTGTAAGACTTCTCTACGCACAAATATACAGAATTAGAAGACTCTGGGGCAACAAAAAAATGTGCCACTTCAAAAAGCCCAGATAGTTTATAATTCAACTTTAAGTAAAAGCTAAAACTAGTGTCCGGCTCCCTACTCCAAAGCTGAGGCAGCGGTGAGGTAAGACAACAGCAGGTAGCAAGGAAACTGTCCTTCCAAAAATCTTTCAGGTATGTGTATGCTCTAACAGGAAAGCAACAGAACTATTAGCGTGCATCCCTATGGTAATTCGAGCCGATTTGCAAAAACAGTGCCTGATGAACATTAAAGTTTAATTGACTGAAGTCTTAATTAAATAACATTCCTAAACAGACTCCTAAACTCTGAATAGGGAAAAGCAGTTTCCGATTTTTTTTTTAACCTACCGCTTAAGAGATCCGCTGGAGAGGTAGGACTCGCCAGAAAAATGTTTTCCTCCTCCTCTGTGGTCAAAATCACAAGAAAAGCAAGGGGGACTGCACCATTCTGTCTCCAGTTCCAGTTCCAAGCTGTCGGTCAGAAACGTGGACGCAGCGGGACAGTTATCCATTGTTTACCATGTCCTGAAATGTTTGGAGTTCATTAAAGACTATCAGTAAGGGCTCCAAAGAAGTTGTGATGTGATTCCTGGAGGTGGGGAGGGCCGAGAGATTTGGGGTGACCTCAGAAAGTTCCCCAAACGTCCCCCACCCCCAGCACACAGGAAAAAAAACGAGAAGTGAAGTAAATCCTCAACAAATATATACCCCTCCACCCCACCCCTCCCCACCGACTCCCCTATATCAAGGCTGTCAGAGTTTACACTGCGCCCCGGACTGGCTGTGGCAGGAACTTAAAAATCCCCTCTACGTCAGATCCTGCAGCCCAGTACAGAGTGAAGTGGGGGAGAAAAAAAAAAATGTTTGCAGGACAGATTCAGCCTCAAGCCCAGAGCTCGACTAGACCTGCGCCCTCCGCTAAGTTACTACACCGCAACTGAGCCAGTTTCCCCGCAGTGTCTGAACTGCAAGCTCCCCGGCCGACTCCAGGCGTGGATCCAGAGGGCCCAGAGCAAGTCCCGCCAAGGTCCGCACAAGGCAGCGATCTGCGCGGGCCGACCACAGGGCGAGGCGGTCCGGACCCCAGTCCCCTTGGTTTGGTGCACATCGTACCTACTTACTCTGAGTCCGCGAGACCCGCCCCAGCTGTGCCGGCCAGAGCCAGAGAGTCCAGGGGTCTAGAAACCAAACAGACGAAACTCCCGCCAAGACGCCGCGCTCAAGAAGGGCGGGGCTACGGAGAAACCCGCCCCCGGAGGTGCGCTCGCGAGATCTCTGAGGGACCCGTCCGCACTCCTGAAGTTCTCGCGAGAATCTTCCAGTCGAGGACTCCGTAAGGCTTTCAGCATTTTTACTTTCTTATTTTTTTCCCCCTTGCTTTGGTAGTTTTAATTGGTACTTTGGGCCGGAAGGCGGGGCCTCACTTAAGAAGGAAACGGGCTGAGGTGAACAAGGTTTAGGGACCGCGGGGTTTGCAGTCTGGGTGAACTTAAGAAAAGAGCTCCGCTGGAGCCAATCGCAAACGAGTGTCTGAGGGCCGCGCCTGAGCCTCTCGTTCCTGAGCTAGTCCCAGCAGCTGCTTTGTTGAGGTCGAAGATGCCTTTTGTTCATGGATTATGGACAAGGCAGGTGCAAAAATGAGGTTACTCCAGTGGGTGGAAACACTGAGTAAGTCACATGGAACTTGACTTCAGTATAAAAACTGTTGCGCGTCCCCCCCCCCAACCTTTAACAACATTATCGGGACAGGTTTAAGACACTTAACCTTGGACACTTTTGTAAAGACTTTTCAGTCTAAATCAGAGATAACATTGTTCAGCCGTCTTCAGTGTCAAGAAAACATGGGAATTTCTCATTTAAATGTCCTGCTGTAATTTTAGTATTCTCTATTGCCCTTTCGTCCACATATAGTTTTGTCTTGGGTGTAATAGCGAAATAGACCCCCTTTTCCTTTTTCAAGTGTCTGTTGCTGAGTAGTCAGTTTGGTTAAATAAGTGAGTGGAGTGTAAAGAATTAATAAATTCTCTGAAATAATTTAAGCTACTACTTTCATAGGTGGTGTATCAGTATGAACCCCCAGCAAGTAACAGATGACATGCTCAAGAGACGGAGCTGTAAAGTGCTTAATGAAAGGGCACTTTACAAAGATGTGGGTGGTATTACCAGGAAGCAAAAAGTGATGGTGAAGCTCCCGGAACTAATCAGAGACATGATTGCTTTTAGACTTAAGAGGTAAGGGAAAAGAGATTGCCAGGACCCAGGGAGACTTAACTGCTGCTGGAGATGCCACCCAGCTGATGGGCACCTTTGCTACCTTAATGAAGGAGTATAGCCAATGTCAACCTGAACCCAGCAGGAAGGAGCTAGAGGATTAGGTACAGGCAGACCTCATTTTTGTGGTGGTTTGTTTTCTTGTGCCTCCCAGATAACTGTGTTTTTACAAAGTAAAGCTTTGTGGCATCCCTGCATTTAGCAAGTCTATTAGTACCACTTTTCCAATAGCATTTACTCACTTCATGTCTTGTGTCACATTTTGGTGACTATCACAGTATTTCAAGCTTTTTAATTAGATTTATTATGGTGATCTGTAAGCGTTGATGACACTATTATGATTCCTCTTGGGTGCCACAAGCCAGGGCCATGTAGGACAGCAAACTTAACCAATTGTTGCAGTGACAACATAGGGTTTAAACTAGTACATAAACTTAGCTGAAAAAGCATCAACAGGGTTTGAGAGGATTGACTTCAGTTATGAAAAGCATTCTACTGTGGGTAAAATGCTATCAAATATCATTCTCTGCTACAGAGAAATCATTCATGAATCATCAATATGCCAAACTTCATTTTTGTCTTATTTGAAGAAATTGCCACAGCTACCCCAACCTTCAGAAACCACTACCTTGATCAGTCAGCAGCCATTAACACTGAGGCAAGACTCTCCATCAACAAAAAGATTATGACTTGCTGAAGGCCCAAATGATGGTTAGCACTTTTTTTAGTAATAAAGTATCTTTTAGTTAAGTTATAGACCTTATTTTTTAAAGACATTGTGCTATTGCACATTTGATAGACTACAGTATAGTGTAAACACAACTTTTATATGCACTGGGAAACCAATTTGTGTGACTCACTTTATTGTGGTGGTCTAGAACCAGACAAACAATATTGCCAAGGTGCACCTATACTGAAATCTCTTTCCCTCCCCAAAGTAATAGCCAAGCAGTGTCCCTCATCACTGGTGGCCAAAGCCAACTTAAAAGCAGAGGGCAAGGATGTAACTTATAAAGTTCAGGCTCATGGAGTAGAGCTGAAGAAAAATAGAGTGAATCTGACAGAAATGGAGTTAATTTCATCAAGAAGATAAAATATTCAGTGTATACATAAATAACAGAGCTTCAATGTCTATAAAGAGAAAAATGCTATCATTTATAGAAGAAATAGGATTCCCTGGTGGCTCAGCCTGTGAAGAATCTACAGGTGCTGTACAGGTGCTATAAAGAATCTCCTGTGCTGTACAGGAGACCTAGCTTCAATCCCTGGGCCGGGACGATCCCCTGGAGAAGGGCATCCAGTATTCTTGCCTGGAGAATTCCACGGACAGAGGAGTCTGGCGGGCTACAGTCCATGAAGTTGTAAAGAGTTGGACACGACTGGCCGACTGCACAAGAACATAAGACACTGAAAGGCTTCCCTGGTGGCTCACTGGGGAAAGACTCCTACTGCTAATGCAGGTGACACAGGTTCAGTCCCTGGGTCGGGAAAATCTGCTGGAGGAGGGCATGGCAACCCACTCCAGTATTCATGCCTGGAGGATCCCATGAACAGAGGCGCCTGGCAGGCTATGGTCCATAGGGTCCCAAAAAGTTGGACATGACTGAAGCGCTGTGGCATGCACGCACTTTTCCGCAAGGTCTGTGTACATGTCGTTCTCTCTGCCTCCAATGTGCTTTCTTCCCCTTCATAGTACTACTGCACATCCTTCAGATCTTTTCTCATATATCTAACCCTCGGAGAAGTCTTCCATGATCTCTGTAAATTATACCAACTCCCTCTATTATAGGTATCCATGGAGCTCACTTTGGAAGGACTCACCACAGGTGCAACTTTATAGTAACATATGTAATTGGCTTCCCTGGTGGCTGAGAGGATTAAGCATCTGTCTGCAATGCGGGAGACCTGGGTTCAATCCCTGGGTTGGGAAGATCCCCTGGAGGAGAAATGGCAACCCACTCCAGTATTCTTGCTNTCAGGCCCTTCCTTGGACTAGAATTCACAGTGGATACTGATTTCACTTGCTTCTGAAAAAACTTCAGCTTCTTTGGAAAATCTGTAGATCAAGAGACGCTTTTACCACTGTAGCAACGGTGGCAAATGGTGATGCTTCTGGTTTTCAAAAGTTCTACATACTGAAAGTGTGACTTAAGAATGAAGATTTATGGAGAAGGAAATGGCAGCCCACTCCAGTATTCTTGCCTGGGAAATCCCATGGACAGAGAATCCTGGTAGGCTACAGATCATGGGATCACAAAGATGTGGACACAACCGAGTGACTAAAACACATACTACAATGTAAGCTTCAAGAGAAGAGGAACCATGTCTGCTTTTACATAGCATTATACCTTCAAAAATGCATCTTGAGGATATTCAATAAGTCGATATTAAAGAGTAAATGGATATTAAAAGACTGAATGGATATTAAAAAAAAAAAAAGAATGAAGATTTGGTGATGATGGCAATGTATTTATTTTTTCTGATGGCAAAAGAGACTGTCGACTTTGAAAAATGCACAACGTGAAAGTTTTATTTGTGGCAAAATGAGGACAGTGTCCCAGAAGACAGCACCTCAGATAGCTCTGAGAGACTGCTCCAGAGAGGCAGGGGGGAAAGGATAGTATATAAGTGATTTTGGTGAAGAGGCAATACATGGAATCAGGCACGTATTTTTCCGGAAGGTTTCTACTAGTTTTGTGGAGCTTTTGCAAGTCATGAGGAACAGTCGTCACCATGAAGGATACCCTGGAGAAGGGAATGTCTTCCCACTCTAGTATTCTTGCCTGGAGAATTCCATGGACTTGGGGTCCATGGGGTTTTAAAAAGTCAAATATGACTGAGTGACTAACACTAGACTACGTGGTCTTCAGAAGGTTGTAAGCCCTGTGTAAAGACATATAAACACACTAGAAAAAATCACACGAGTCCAGAAAAACACATTTCTAGGCCAAGTTGGCCTTCTGGCTGCCAGTTTGCAATCCCTGAATTCTAGTCTATATCAGAGTAACATTGTGCAAATGAAGATGGATTGGAAAACACTTAGTTTAAACTGTCTTGTGCCCTTTACCTTCTCAGGGGCTTCTCAGGTGGCTCAGTGGTCATCTGCCTGCCAATACAGGAGATGCGGGTTCAACCCCTAGGTCAGGAAAATCACCTGCAGGTGGCAAAGGCAACCCACTCTGGTATTCTTGCTGGGATAATCCCATGGAGAGAGGAACCTGGCAGGCTACAGTCCATGGGGTCACAAACAGTTGGACGTGACTATGCATGCACACACACATGCCCTTCCTGCTTCTTCACGTATGTATTAATATATGGTTCTATTTAGAGTTAGAAAGTGGATAGGGAATAGGACACCTTAATTTATAATCCCTCGAAGAGAACAGGAAATGAAAGAGGGGTGATTCTCCAAAGCAAAAGCAGAATGTTGATACCAAAAGAAGGAAGATGAAATGCTATATATACAGGCAAATCAACAGATGCCCAACACTCCTTTCCTCTTCTCCACCCAGTGGGATTCTTATGTGACACTTCTTATATATCACTTCTGTGCTGTCATGGCCTACCATGACATCTCCCTGTTCAGGAAAAAGAAATTATTCTTCTTTTTGCATTTGTGTCAGTAATGCGTACTATATTATTACCTCCACTGTGCTACAGCAAAAGAGCTGTGATGCATCTGCCTGTCTCTGAGAGACAGCTTCCTCCAGAGAGAGGGCTTTCCACCCCACAGACCGTGTCCTGCTTCCTGCTCTGCCTCTTTTCTTCAGTTGCCCAGTGACTCTTTTCCTGATGCCTGCCCGAGTTACATCTCTTCAGTCCTCTTTCTAGCTAAGACTTTGGTCACTTTTTTGCCTGGCTCAGGAGATCGTCTTAGAGTTTGCCTTACAAAGTCCTCAACTCTGGGCTTCTGGTACTCTGCTTCTCTGTTCAAAGACTACATCGA